GCAACTTCTTCTAGAAATATTATAAATAATTATATATTATGCCGTATCTCGTCCGGATGGAAATTGTAGTCGTGTCCTTGTACGCGCTATCACCAACTATTCAAAAAACCCGCCAAACTGAAAAAGGTGCAGGCGGTGCCGGCGCTGCGCGCCCAAGCAGGCCGCTACGCGGACTGCCAACTTCATTGTGTTTTTGTTGCGCAGCATCAACAGTTCAAGTTTTTCAATTGCTTCAAAGTGAAGTTTCAAGTTCAAGAGGCCCAGGGATAATTACCCAGGTCACCGTAGAAATCGCTCGGGCCATCACTCTCATAAAGGGAAGCGTAGGGGAAAGAAGAGGTCTCAGGATCGCTACAAGGAGGTTAGATCTCGACATTCCTCGCGAGACTCATCATCGACACCTCGGGCGTCGCAGGAAACCTCACGGTGCCGTTCTCCCTCTCAGACATTATCCCAGCTAATACTGGCCACGGCTCTAAAAGGCTTTCTCGCTTTTATGAAGCAACACAGCTCCCAGAGTGCAGGGAGTGTAAGTAGGGCGAAAAATCCCCCCAGTCCCACGGCGGACTCTCTTCTCCTCCAGGAGAATACAGATACCATTGTCTCTCCAGAGGTTGAGACCGAAATAGATGAGCAGACGGTTCTCCAGAACCGGGGCGTTGCACCAGGTATATTTCCTCGTTACTGCGAAGAGGAAATATAGCCGATTGCTTCATCTATTTTTTCGGTCATTTCTTTGCTTATAGAACAGCCAGAGGAGCCGGCACCAGGATGTACAGTGTTGTTTACGGACCCCAAGGTGACCCAGATAAGTGCGGAGGAAGAAGAAAACTCTGGTAGCCGAGCTGTTTGGCGAGGAACAATGCTCGTCAAGCGATGCGACTTGGGATCCTGTAATCTTTAACTCGACAAAATCCGGGCTACGTATGGGTTTAAAAGAGGAACTTCGCAACTCTTTACTTTCAAAGTACGAGCTCAAAGGAGACCTTACGTGTTTAAGACCTCCTAAGGTTAACAGAGAACTGACGTCAGCTCTGTCCAAACGGCAGGCCATTTTAAAAAGGGAAGAATACCAGGCAAAGAGGCAGACCCAAGTAGGAGCCTGTCTGAACGCACTAGGTTCGACCATAACCGACCTGGTTAAGTTTCACCAGTCCTTTCTTCAGGATAATAACTCGAAGAACATTATTGTCAAGCTTGCGGAAGGACTTCATCTTTTGTCCGATCTCCAATTCCGCTTGTCCCTTGCCAGGCAGGCATATATAAAACCGTGCCTGACGTTTGTAGGAAAATCGACAGTGGATTCCTGTAAGGTCGACGACTGGCTTTTCGGGTCAGGTTTCGCAGAGGATCTTAAAGCAGCACAGGCCTGTGAGAAGGTAGGGCGAGATATAGCCAGATCTACCTCTACCCCGACAGCGCTAAAAATCAACAATCAGCCATCTCGTCAACAAAACGTGTCAGAGCAACCGAAAGCGTCAAACTTCAAAGCTCCTGCCCAACGCACTTCATCCTCGGCTCGCCGGATAGGAGCGACGCAATCAAAGAGCCGCAGTCAGACCTACTCCAGATCCAGGTCTCGGACACGCCGTTAGTACAAGTAAGGACAGCGGGGAGGTTAGCTTGTTTTTTCCGTAGGTGGAAAGAATTAACAACAGATCCAGAAGTCCTCCAGGCTATCAGGGGTTACCATATACCTTTTGTTTCCGCCCCTCCTTCTCGTGTGCACATGCGGGTACCTTCTTTTTCCCCGGAGGTTGCAAAGGCGTGTGATGAGGAGATTTTACGCTTACTAAGTAAGGGAGCTATAATAGCTACGGCTCCTTCCGAGAACCAGTTCTTATCCAGTTTTTTCTTGGTTCCGAAACCCTCAGGAGGCATGCGTTTCATATTGAACCTCAAAGACCTTAACCTTTATCTCAGTCCACAGCATTTTCAATTGGAGGACTGACGAACGGTAGTTCAACTCATGATTCCAGGATCCTGGATGGTGACTCTAGATCTGGAAGACGCCTATCTTTTACTGCCTATAGCACAGGAATATCGTCATTTCCTTCGTTTTCAGTGGAAAGAGATTGTCTACGAGTTTACATATTCACTAAAATTCTACGCCCAGTAGTTGCTCATCTGAGAGCAGAAGAGTACTGCTCCGTTATCTATCTAGATGATCTCCTGCTTTTTGGTCTCTCAGAACAGGATGGTTTACGCAATCTAAGAGCTTCCTGAGAAAAATGTCCGATTAAATATAATCGGATAATCCAATAACATGATAACAAACGGATATGTCCGATTAAATTGTATATCCGATGAAAAATTTGATCGATTTTTCAATCAAATTTCATCGGTAATTGCATTTCATCGGATAAATTTCATCGGATATATCCATAATTTAATCGGAAAACGTAATCGGAAAAATTAACTATCGGACATACTATTTAATTGGTTTATCCGATGAAAATTTTTCTCAGTATGGACTTGCTATCGTCGCTCGGATTTCTTCTGAACTACGAGAAATCTCAACTAATTCCAGCACAAAGGTGTAAATATCTGAGTTTTATCTTCGACTCAGTGCAACAGTCTGTTGCAATCCCACGGAAGCGGCGCAGGAATCTACTCAGATTAAGGGGGGAAATACATTGACAACCTTCAAAATTTTCAATTTTTTTTCATAAAATGTTAGTATAACATCTCGAAAATGTGATGCCAAAGTTTTAAAATAAAATTCGAAGCCCTTTTGATGTTATAGCTTGTAGACATGACCCGTCTCCGTTCGATGCCGGAGCGCGTCGCAGGTATACCGACACGCACTCGGAACAGGAATGCGAACCCTTCTTTGTCTCCCTTCCATCTTTATTTTATGTAGGGCAAATGTTTCGTAGATTTTGTGTCCCCACTATTTTTGCTAGAGAAGATCTGGGTTGAGGTCAGTCAAACTGTCTCCAGAATTTGATCTGTACGGAACGTTTTTAGTCAACGGTCACTGTAGCTCCGAAAGTGATAGTGATAGTGATAGTGAAAGATAGTGAAAGATAGTGAAAGATAGTGAAAGAAAGTGAAGAGATAGAACTGGGAGCCGATAGCTGGTGCAAATGAAAAAAAGTGAAGCTATTGAAGCAACTGTGGAACTTCTGGAGCACTCTGCGTCACTTCACCCAGATATGCAGAAGCATAACTTTCCAATTTTTGAACATTTGTTGAAAGAGTACCTACTGCAAAGATGCTTAGGCGGCCACACGCAAAATGCAAACGAAAGTTTTAATTCAACGATTTGACGCTTCGCTCCCAAGCATCTGTATTCTGAAGGGCTGAAAATAATCGAAATCTCAGCATTTATAGCAGCAGGATTGTTTAATAAAGGATATTCTTCAATTTTAAAAAATATGAGTGGCTTAGATATTATTATTGGAAGGCAGAGCAAAACTTTCGCTGACGACATCGACGAGAAGCGGGTTATTCGGCAGGAGCGGCGCAGCTCTTTAACAACTAAAGAAGCTCGGCAAGCAGCTCGAGAACAAGCTATGCTGGCAAATCAGCTCTATGAAGAGACTGAAGGGCTACTATATGGACCTGGAATCGCTGACTAGCTGGTAAATCTTTGAAATCATTGAGTTTTCATTTCTCAAAACTTTAAACGCGTTTTTCTCGAAACTACATTTTAAAAACTTGCGGGAAATGTAGCTCAAAAACTATTTAACAGATTCTCCTGAAATTTGGCTTAAAATATAAATAATAACATCTGCTTCTGTGTGAACCTAAATGTAATACACAATCATTACAAAAAAGTACCTTTTTCTTGCAAAATACGACGAAAATGTTGCGAAAAAAATAGATTTTTTTTGTTAAGCGTGTATTTCTTCCATTTTTAATTTTTTGTCACTGGAGTTAGGTTCACTTAGAAGATATAACCTTTAATAATAAAAAAAAATTTGGTTTAAATGTTTCAGACAAATACATCAGACTCCAGAATTCCCGCAGATTGGCAACTCGCGTGCCGATGTCTTTGGAAGACAGTACAATATCTCCGCCATTTTTTAATATTATGTAAAATAAAAAATATATTAAAACAGCTTAAAGTATAAGTAAATAGTACATATATTTTTAAAATGTCATATAATTTATTCTCCTAACAAAAAATTCCCCAAAAATTGATCATTTTCGGCCGTCTAAATGTATTTCCCCCCTTAATGTTGAGTATCTCGATTAAACGCAAATGCCAAATCCGAAGCTTCGCACGCATGATTGGATCTCTGTTTTCAGTCTGTCCCGCAATTCAATATTATATACCAAGGCCTTGGAAAGAACAATATTACGAGCTTTGGCACACTCCAGAGATAGTTATTCAGCCACTATGGACATCCCGTCCTACCTCGCTGAGGATTTTCAGTGGTGAATTAGGGTTTTTTCAAACCTAAAACAAGCTAATTTCATCCGTTCCAGGGTGGCAGCTCGTGAAATTTTCTCGGACGCTTCTCTATCGGGGTGGGGGGCTTCCTGTGGGGAACTCCGCACCCATGGATGGTGGTCCGCGGAAGAGAAAACTAGCCATATAAATTTGTTAGAGCTTAGGGCCGCCTTCTACGCTCTTCAATGCTTTGCACCAGACTTGTGGGACTGCGATGTTCTTCTCAGAATAGATAATACAACGGCTATTGCCTGTATTAATCGCTTTGGTTCCGTCCAATATCCTCATTTATTTGCTATAGCCAGACAGATCTGGACCTGGTGCGAAAATCGCAACCTTATGGTTTTCGCATCTTACATAGCTTCTATCGAAAATACGATCGCAGATCAGGAATCCAGAGGTATCAGCGTGGAATGGTCTCTATCAGAGGATGCTTTTCATCGTTTGTCACTAGAATTTGGTCCTGTTGACCTTGACCTTTTTGCTTCAATCGTCAATGCGAAATGCACGGCCTACGTATCTTGGTTCCCAGATCCGGGCGCCATAGCAATCGACGCTTTTACACTCTCGTGGACTGACACAAAGTTCTTCGCTTTTCCTCCTTTCATCCTTTTACCTCGAGTTCTCAGGAAGATTTTAAATGACCAAGCGCAAGGAGTCGTGGTGGTACCATGGTGGTACCATGGTGGCCATCACAGTCCTGGTTCCCACTATTCCACCGCCTTCTGGTTGGAAAACCTGTGATTTTTGAACCAGCCTACAATCTCCTCTCTTCTCCTTTCAGAGATTGTCACCCTGCTTGGAGGACCCTTTCCCTGGCGGCAGGACTCTTATCAGGCAGGAAGGTTCTTAAACCCCCTCGGCCGAAATATGACTACGTTTGGGATCCGGCCCCTGTGTTAGCTAAGCTGGCTTCATTTTATCCACACGATACTTTACCGCTTAAGGTACTTTCGAAAAAATTGGTCCTCCTCCTTGCCCTCGGCACGGGTCAGCGAGTGCAAACACTCGCATCGTTCAGGATTTCGCAAATTTCATTTAATGATAAGCTCATTATCCGCATCCCGGATAGACTCAAAACGTCTGCTCCTGGACGTTCTCAACCGTTGTTTTGTTTTTCTCTATTTGCGGGAAATGAAAATCTCTGTATTTTTAGTTTAATGAAGACCTATATAGAAGTTACCAAAGACCTTCGTTCATTTTCCGGCGATAGATTATTCGTCTCTTGCATGAAGCCTTATAGGGCAGTAGGCCCACAGACCATTAGCCGTTGGATACGACCAGGTCTGGAGGAATGTGGAGTGAGGGCCGATTTGTTTACAGCGTATAGTACAAGGCACGACTCTACCTCGTCAGCGGCTCAGAAAGGTGTCTCTTTAAACTTAATTAAGCGCGCAGCCGGATGGTCGGGTCAATCGCGCGTCTTTGCAAAATTTTACAATCGCCCCATAATAAATCCAGAGGATTTCTCTGATAGCGGTCTAAGACCGTGAACAGGTTCTCTCCTATGTTTAGCTTTGATTAAGCTTGCGTGCGCGGGTCTTAGGTTTTGGACAACATACGAATGTCAACCTCAGACATAGCTATAATACATTTATTCCCGCTTATAGCTTTTTTCTTTTCTCGCCATAGGACACCTGCCGCTAATCGCGCTAATATCTTTTAGTTGACATTATATTCAGGTACTGGAGTATCATTAATTTTGGCGATTTCACAACGGTTTTTTCTTTTTTAATCATCCCCTGCAGTCAGGGGTGATCTTAGTAAAGGTTCATACAATAATTAATCTATCAGTGAAATTCTTTCCCATACCAGATACACAAATCGCCATCTAAACATCTACAATTTCCATCCAGACGAGATACGGCATAATTAATAAATCAAACGAACTCACCGAGTGAAGTTCGATTTGAATTATAGAAATATTATAAATAATTATATATTATAAATAATTAATAAGGTGTTTAATATTGCTAGAGTTCTGAAATTGCAAAGAAAAGTATATGTAGCGAATACGGTTTTGTTGCATTTTACATTACATAAGTGGACATTTCATAATACAAAATGGAACACTGCGGTCGATAATCTCAGCGCTGATAATTGGAAAGACTTTGGTTTTGACTCCAAAGATTTTGACATACATGAATACTATAGGTAAATCCTACTTTCTTATAATTTTACATCATTATTTTATAACGTTCCATTTTTCTATGTATATCATCGACATAAATTCTTACTTGCAGAAAGGCAGTAAAGGGTTGTAAATTTTACTTACTGAACGAAAACGTAGACGATCTAACAGCAGCCAGACGTCATTATAAAAGGTGAGGTGCATCTTAAAAAAATGGAGAATAGACAATTTCACCTTAAGATAGGAAATTTTTAGTTATTCTCTGGAGTTTCTGTTTGCGTCTTTAAATATTTTTTAGGATGCATACATATATCACATATCTTATTGTTAGCATTACCTATCTATTACCACAACACTCACACATTATTAAATATTCTGATAATCCTCCTTGTAAAATATGACGAGGATCTGTGTCAACTAAGAGTGTGTCCCGGCAAGAAACTGCTACTATCGCGCTACGCTAGCGCTACACGAGTGCGTTTCGGCAAAACGCAACTTTCCAATAGAACTGTAGCTAAACGTTTTCCACTTCATTGTTGCTTTTATCTGATAAATCATCGAACAATATGTTATTCATGAGCCAATCTTCAATATTTTCCATTCTATATTTGTTTCAATTAATTGGCAAACGCGACTCTTATAATTAAAATATAATTTTGTGGTCATGCTCGCTAATGTAAGTATGGCGTCCCTACAATTGTAGCAACAAAGCTGTAGCGCTACGGTAGTAGTGTCTTGCCGGAACTCACGCGGTTACAATTACCGTAAGGTAGTAGTGTGACTGATGCTCTAAATCTCGCAAAGTGCTTACTTTAATCTTTCCTGTCTTTCGGATTTACGAAGTTCGAGAAATTGATTTCAATATTCCTCGTGAAAATGTCTGTCAATTAAATTGAGATAACAAATAAATCAGGCATACTAATGTAACAATTATTTGTTAAATTTTCAGTTTTACTTTACAACATTTAGTTTATTTAATTTCTTCTCAAATATGTTATTATGTATTTTTAATACTGCAAGCTTAAAATAATATTTAACACATTAATTTTACTCGATGTTTCAGGATGGAGTGGCTTGATAAAATAATCAAGACGTTATTCGTCGTGTTTATGTTATGGATACTTTATAAGTATATAGCTACATATTAAGTAATTAAACAACTAATGTGTTAACCTTCGAACAAATGTAATCACCAACGTATTAACTTGATTGCATCTGCCCCAATATATCTCTTTCTTATTAGGCATCTTTTGTTGTGTTTCGTTAATAAGTTCTCATCATAGCCGTAAGGCAAGTAACAACAAAGTTAGTAATATTAGTTAAGAACGTTGAATTCACGAATTCCTTTTTATTATGTACTACGTATAAACGAAATTAATTAAATCGAGTAAACAAGTAAGGTGATTTGAAAATGACACATCTCATTAACGTAAGAATAATCACGAATTTACTTACTTATACATGGTACATAATAAAAACAAATTCGTGAATTCTACGTTCTTAACTAATATTACTGACTTTGCTGTTAATTGCCTTATGACTATGATGAGAACTTATCAACGAAACAGAACAAAGACATCTAATCAGAAAAAGATATATTGGGGCATATGCAATCAAGTTAGTACGTTGAGTATTATGATACATTTGCTCGAAGGTTAGCTTAAAAAACGGTTCTTCTTTCACTCCGGTGAGATCGCTTTTAGTCTTACGTTAACAAATAGTAATAGTTGATTAATTTCACAACTTTAATAATACTTTAATAGGAAACCAATGAACGAATAACTCTGGAATCAAACACAGTTATGTTGATGATTCCATAATTATATGTAGTTTAGATATTCAGTCTTATTTTACAATATTTAATGTACAGGAAGTGATATAGATCTTGTCTAATGATAATGATATTCTTGAGAGAATCAGGTTCTCCATATTAATACCTTGATCTGCATACATTGTGAGTCATTTTGTGTTTCCTTTTTCATAAACAATTGAAACAACAATATAAACCAACGCTCGGAATTAGTTGCCTTTTTCAACCTGCTTCCGGTGGTGACACCTGTTCTCGCACTACGCCGATCGCGTATGGGACCAAGCGTCTACCAAGTCAGAAATGACTCGAAAACCGTCGTCGAAACGATATCGAATCGATGCATTTTTGGTTCCATTTTCGACTTGGCTCGAAAATGGATCC